AAAGCGGCTCTGAAGAAGGCGATACTGCCGAAACGTCAGCTAGCGTTGTATTGTATTGTGTTTTCTTTATGGAAGTAAATGTATGCTGTTTAAAAACCTCGCGATTGCTGAACAAGAAAACGACACATTCATATGTCGTTAATGTTCTTTTATTGACTCTTCCGTGGCTCTTTTACCACTGCAAAAAGGTATCCGGAAGGACGACGCCAGCACCTCGAAGCTGTTCAGCAGCGCTCTACCGTGCATAGCGAAATCATTGATTGGGATGAAGAAGCGATACGTGTTGGTAGAAAATTTGTATAAAAACTTTTGCCTATGAAATCTTCACCCTCTCGAAAAATATCAGTGGACCAAGGAGTTTGATCAAGGATTGTAACGAAATGAGGGAAGAATGGGGACTATAAAATGTTAAACATTCTAGGTAATCTCGTTATTTTAGGCTAATAGCTCTTTGGTTACGAAAGCCCCGTCCTTCTTCTGGAAGGGTTCGCTGAGCATTGTAAAACAAACTCGAAATTTTATGCTCACCTTTCCAGCGCTGTGCAATGCAGCTAATACGTGGGCCTCCACCAAAGCGACGCTGAGAGTTTTATACGCTTCCGCCAAAGCGCTCAAACAGTATGTTCCGAAATATGCCAATACATACAGCGGATCGAACATGACAGTTCAAACTATCAAAAGACAATCCGTCCTCGAAATCTGTAGTGGATCAGCGAAATATGGATAGGTCGATCATTTAACATGATCAGCTGACAACATGAGAACATGAAGAGCCGTAGAAAACAAGGTGAACTCCTGGGCAATCATGTGCGTTATGGGTAGAAGCTTGTCTATCTGATGTCAGTGGACTTCGTTAGCAATTGGAAATGATTTATAGATGACAGAATAACAATCGTGGACACCACTATGTGCGAAAAACGTTACCACTGTTAAGGATAGTCATAATGGAACAATACGACCATGAAGTGCACTGGGGCACTCATCTTACTATACAATTAACTGTGTACTTGTGCGTAAGTTATAATGCGAGGTGAACTCTTTCGCCATGGTCGTAAGTTTTAGTGGGTTGCATATATCACAGATAAAAGAGTGTATTTATGGTTAGTTTAAACTATAATGAATAATTTAAACATTTAGGTTACATGTGCTCTGTTTTGGGGTCTTCATTTTCTCGATCCATCTCTAGTAATGCCAGAATGGTTGGCAAATTTAATTCCACCATGGCTAAATCATGTTACGCACACTCTCCCTGTGATATATGTGATCTTTGAGTTACTAACAACGAACAGAGCGTCTCCTTCGTGTAGTATGTCGGTGGCAGCGTCAACGGTATATGTGACTATCTACTTGACTATGTCAGTTTAATATTATTGCATGTAGGCTGACACATACACGATTGTTTTTCTGCTTTAGAATCCTGGCGGTTCGTTTTCTCCACGGTTATTGGTTGTATCCACTGCTTGAGTTGCTCACTCTAGAGTTGCTAGCTTTGTTCTTTCTTGCATCTGTTGCTGGATACTACTTCCTTATTAGACTATCAACTGTTCTTTCATTATGGTCTATAGGTAAGTGACTTTGGAGTATTTATTATTATATAGGGAGTATGAATATATCAAATATATATGAATATATGAGTATATATATATATATATGAATATATCAAATATTGACTCAGTTATGAAGCGGTTAGCACAGCGGTAGTGATGTCCGTCATTACGAGCATTGTGGTAGTTCGATTCCGCTCCGGCCCAACCAAGTCTCTCCTCCCTCAGAGGTCGGAAAATTCGTACTGAACTTGTTTGGGGAAAAATCACTCTCTGCAGTCCAAATGGGAATGCTCCAACCCGGCTATCTTAGCACTAAGAAGAATTGCTCGAACAGCATTCTACGACATTTAAGATGAAGTGAAAATACTCAAGCAGCAATCGAAGCCACGCGTAAGAGTTGGAATATCTTCGTGGAGAGTACATGCGGGGAAACAAACCGATTGTGAGAAGCGTTGGGATCCTCACAGTAGACGTTAAGACGGGCCAAATAAAATACAAAAATAAATTGATTCAATTGTTCTTAGTGATTGGAAATTTCTTAAAATTTTGTGCTATGAAGAAATTTAGCGTAATGTGATTGAAAAACCACCAATAACACGTTTAAATCATTACTTCGCCCTGAAACAGTCGATTACTCGCCGAATTAGCTGCCCTGAAAGAAGCCTGATCTTAAAGCTGAAAGTTCCCTCTGATGCATAAAGGCCGGCGATTGCAAGTTGTTGAAACGCGGAAACGCCACAGCAAGCCTATCTTGGGATCGCTGGGAAAACAGTGGTCGCACCAACAGTCAAAACATTCAGAATGTGAATAAGTCTGGGCGGCCTACTGGCCTCTAAATCAAATTACCGACCACCTCTCACCTCGACCCGTTTATGTAGAAGGAGTTCTTCCTAATTTTCGTTATGGAGCATTAACATGGTGTGCTTATTCGGCCACATAGAGGAAATTGCATGTAATACATAGGTGACCCGAGCACTCCGTTCTTATCTGCGAGCTGATATTCGTTTTTACTTTTTTGGATTTCCGAATACTCCGTATTTGAGATCCAGTCGCATACTTCTCAAAAGTGTGCACCGTCGAGCCATCTGTCATATAAATGTGAAGAGAAGACCATCTCGGAAGTCTCTACCAAGATAGACCCACGTATTCCTTGCACGCTTAGGTGGCTGTGTTCATAACTTGTGTTAACAGTCATCTCCTCTGCTAACAGCGGAATCCACACATAAAATCTTCCACCTCCGTGGACAGTTGCAAGATCAAGTAACTAACCAAGGCACTTGCTTAAAGCAGCACTATGTGAAGACAGTTGATCTTAGAATATAGTAGTACAGAACAAATAAGCAAAGGTACGATTAAAGGCATTTGTAAGTCATAAAATTTCCCGATTTTATTTCTGTTAATTAGAGCTTTGCTCCAAGTACTTGTTTACATTCGAATCCGCAAACGCTGTGCATTCGGCGTCGAGGAGCGGTTGCGAAATTGGCGGTCGTGAATCCAGCCATGGCTTTGTAGACGTTTTTTTGAATATTACATGCCTTTTGGAACAAATATTAACGTGTAGGAATTTCTATATCCTTACTCACATATTTATTTCGGATTAACCTAGGTAAAGTTCAACTGAATAATTTATCGTCATTGAATACATCTATATTGTATCCGCCATATATCCATTTCTTTTGAAATGCGCTTTTAGGTCGTCTACAATCTGATTCGATGCGACAAAACAAGTACAAGTAACCGTAGCGAACGTTTTGCTGCAACGCCTACCCAATGCTCTTAACGATTTTATTCTATAAATATTTCTAAATCCTCCTTTATTCTCTTTTTGAGTCAAAAGAAATCACAATTAAATAATGCTTATTTGCTTGTCATAAAAATCAGCCTTAGGCTTGCAATTCTTTTCGATTGGATGATTATTTATTTATTATATGTTTCTAGGAACTGCCCTTGTTAAGCTCATGCGAGGTTGGTAGAAGTTGGTAGGAGTGTTGTTGTTGTTGTTTATATTTATAAAACACGTCCAGGCTCTGAGGAAGGTGAAATCGCCGAAACGTCTGCCATCGAAAAACAACAGCAACAACAACGACAACGACGACTTTTACCAACCTCACATCAGCTCGACAAGGGCAGATCGTAAGAACACATAATTAAATAAACATTTGGGTTATTTATACCAACGTTTGTAGAAAGTCAGTTTTTTGAGTTATTGGATGGTTGTTATTCTATTTATCTTTTCTAAAACGAATTGGTATGGGATGGGGCGTTTCTTCACATTTTCGGCTTGCTAGACTCATTGGGGCAATAAAATGAAATATCAGACAAGTAATGTTTTCAGTTTTGTTCTTTAGCTTTAATTCGCCAATAACCATGTTTTAAAATGATGATGATATTCAGTGAAAATTGAAAATACTGATTGTATGCTCTGTGATAGTATCGGATTAAACGCGTGAAATTGGGTGTTTGATTTCACTGATCACTTTGGTGATGAATTCGTAATTAGAACATCAAAGTGGTGAGAAAGTCCATGAATGAGGAGATATGATTTCTTCGCAGTGTAAACTCTACGAGGGAATATTATGTTGTGTATTTGATGAATAGAATAGAATTGAATTGAATACTAGGTTTATCACTCTGTGATATACTCCTCTGAAAACCATCAACGTTTTAAATGGAATCAAAGATGAAACTTTTTAAAATATTGTTTATACCAAGAGTGCACTTCTATCCCTAGATGAATGCATAGAGAATCCATTTGGTCTTTAGAATTGACTCTTTCTGCTTTCATCCAGCTGCTCAGCTTTTAGACATCAACAGTTGATGAGACTTCTTCATAAGGCTCTTCACAACTTCTGTCGGGTACGGTATCACAATGGTGTTATTTCTGTAAAGGAAAGCAATGAGACAGTGAGATCTTGTGAACAGTTTGCTTTTCTCATATACTTTACCGATCTATTTATTGGCAAAAATATCGTCATAACAGGCAACCTTATGGGCTGCATTAAAATGTTGTCGATTGGGCTATTCATTTCCCGAAGAGTTCCGTGTAAATCATGCCAATGTGTTTTCAACGCTATCCATGGCCTATGTTTATCGGAAAGATGTTTGTTGTCGCGCGACTGAGTTTCTTCCAGCGCACAAACCATCCTTAGCACCAGTTTATTCTTCACCTGGCTTCCAGGTGAAAATGTCGAATTCCCAAGCTTGGTTAGTTGTTGGATGGAGGGTGAATGAACCTTCCTGGTCCATCTTTGCTTAAGCACAAAATGTTGTGCGTGCAAAAACCTGTAACTTATAGGCGACTAAGAAAATGTGTATCAGATTTGTGTCAGATTTAAAGTATTAGTTTAAGATGTTGCTTCACTGGTTAAATACTGTAGCAAATGACAGCTTACAAAGGTTGTGAAGGCAATTAGCTGGATAATTTAAAAAATTGCAAACCTTTGAGAGGCTATTTGGTGTAATGTCTGAAGGTACCGAAGTTGGACAGAAATTTTGTTTCTGCTTATAACGTCCGCTGCTTCAGCCATCCATCTGAAATTCCGGCAGAGCAAAAATGAGGTCTGCTTGTTTTTAGGCTGATGATAAAATCAACTATATAATGGCGTTCGGGTAATTATTTCTGAAATTTTTTAAAATATTGAATAGGGACCCTTACCCTGAAATTCCTTGCACTTTGTGCTTAAATATGCATTAGAAACTATAGCAGTCAGATGAGCTTACCGAGAGGCACATCGTTCACCCTCTGCATGGATAATGGTTGCACGTGCGTTGCGAACCGCTTCTGCCTCTGCCGCCATACTTCTCAATAGCTGGTGAGGTAAACGAATGTCTTTGATTTCAACTCGTTCCACCTGAACAATACTTGAGAAGGACTCAACATACTCAGCATAACATAATGGTAGGTCACCTTCACTCCCCAGGGATCAGTGCCTTCGTCCAACACTTTTTCTGTTATCTGAAATAATGTTGGTCAAAGCAATTCGTACATTCAACAAGTACTGTTTGAACGCTACTCAAAGTTATATTGAAATGGCGGGTATGAACAAATGTGTCAGCTGTTGCATCGCTGCCATCCCACCATATAATACTACACAGTGCAACATTGGCCACCGACTAGAACATCCTACACTGGCTATAGCGTCTCGTTCCGAGAGCATTTCACTCAGCGTTTTTGTTCCCAGTACATTCCGAAGCGTTGTCTGAGCGAGAAGTCGTGTGCTGAACTGAGCATCGTTGACATTTGTTACAGAAATCACCTGAAAATTATGGGAATGCAGGAAATTGGGTGGTTTTCATTGCACTCCAGTTTTGGTCTCATTGCCTGAAACTAATGTTAAATTTACCGGATTGGAAACTCTGAAGAAGATTACGGCTTCCACGGAGACGGTTACCGAGTCACGACTGAGAATTTCCTGAGGTGGAACATCGAAGGAAAGTACACGAAGATCGACCTCAACGGCAAAACAACTTAGGGCAGAAATGCTATTCTTAAGAAACTTTAGTGATTTATGTAGTTGGTACTGTAACAAGTCGCTTAGGTTTCATGGTTTTATTTGGACTAAATTGCGATTTTATCTCATATGCAGCGACTCTATAAGAGGCAGGCTGGTTTGTAACAAAGTCTAGTCAATCAACATTTGATAGCAAGGTCTACTCTCCACTGCTAGCAACGTTCCCATCGCTAAGTTTGTTGTATGTCGTCTGTCTTTCTGCTCTTGGTGTGCTGCAGGGTAGTCACATGATTCGCTATGTGATCAGTGGTGAGCTTCTATGAAAGTGTAAAGATCGGTGTAAAGGAAAACCTAAGTTTCTTAGGTATAAAAGTAAGAAATGTCTCCTTAATATGTGGTGAACGTTTTATTCTCTTCAGGTTCCATTGACGTCATATGCAGCCCGAGATTGCCTTCATAGGTTGTTTTGTTGATGTATTACTGGTAACTTTTTTCGTAGAGTGGCGAAATAACTAGTAGTTATGACGTTCTCAGATCGCTGCTGAAAGCATCGGCAGTTGTCGATTGAAGGAAGGTTTGGCGCATCCAGATTATGTTTCCTCTCATGAACCATTGTTCCATAGATTTATTCCTGCTCGAACTTTCGCGTAGCAAAATAGAACTCCATCTCCCTTTGTGTGAACCTTTTCTGGTTCGTCACAGTTAAGTAGCAAAGGATAACATCATCTATCATGACGTGGCATAGCATTTGTGTGTTGTGCAACCCAAGAAACAGTGGAATACAATGTTTAACGTTCTGTTTTCTGCATTCTATAATTTTCATGGCAAGTTACTAAGCGAAATACAACCACAACGTTGCTGAGATATTTGCAAAACTCTGGACCGCAGGTGTCTATGGCGGGGAACGAACGCGCTATTGTCCTTTCCGGGGAGTAACGCGTTCACCACCACACCATGCGGGTCCTTCGTTTCGCTTGTCTCTCAGCTATTTCTATCGATCTTTTTGCCACAGCAATCACCCGTCAGCGGGGTTGATCTGGAGAGCGCAAATCGGCATAGAACAGTGGAATAGTTCCAAAGGTGGATCCTCGTCAAGTCAGGTTGTATCGTCATCGGTAATGGTATCAGATTCGTGTTGTTTCGAACCGTGAAAATGAACGTTATTTGAGAAATAGTGCTATTATTTCAATTCGCTTACAGAACAGTCAACATAACAAATTTCCAGGTTGCATGATGTAAATTTGTTGGAGCGTTAAAGCTTTGTGATCTAACTATATAACGAAATTTGAACGAAACATAAAAACATGGACGAGTTTTTGACTAAGATATTTGGTATTGGGTTTTCCTTGTCAAGAAGGTTTGAATTAACTCCGAAATTAATTGCATGCTAAAAAGCTTCAGAAGACGGAAGAGTGAGCTGAAGAAAAGACATAGTTACGACTACACGATTGTAGTGAAAGGGATTAGTAATTGGATAGAATTAACTTTATGAAGTCGTGCGAAAACACTCTGTGTGCTTGGTCTTCCACGATCCTAATCACAACGACATTCAAATATCACACAAATAAGCAATAATCAGTTATTTCGAATTCGATGCTTCACCGAATCAGGATGAAAATGACGAAATATTTCTTACGACTAAAACTTTCCACTGATCCTACGCCCACATCAAAGTATCGGTTTCTTCTTATAACCGTTTCATTAGTTCAAATATTATAGATAAAGCTGCTAAACCTACAATTTTGAATGTGTCAATACAAGGAAGAATAAAAAATAATCCAGGGCCTTTCGTTCCACCACGGATTAAACGTCCCAAACGAAAAGTCACGGCACGTTGATATTCTCTAAAACTTCACCATTATGCTAGATTGAACAAGTGGTAGTACAGACTTAATTTACATACTTTATGATTTTCAAACAGAAAAACAGACTCCAAGGAAGAGATAGGGCGAACAGAAGAAATGAAATTATTAACATCGCGTGGGAAATGAAAGGTGACGTCTTCTGAAATTTACAATTGTACATTAGATTTTTCTAAAGGGTTTTCGTTACAGGGTGCAATGGTAGCGCATTGAATAATAAAAAGTTCTCTGGAAATACCCTGGTTTCCACCGGAAGACTTTTGTTGGCAAAAAAGTGGTGATCAATTAATTGCAATTAGAGCGTTTAAGCTTACCCTTTCCTCATGCAGCAAATGCCTCGTACGAATCAACCAACTTTGGGATCTTGCACGCATAGGTATTTTCTCTATCACATCCTAAAAATAACATTTTGTGTCTGTAAAGTACCTTTCCTTCAAAGTTCCTTTTACTAATTGTAGAAATATGAATGCGCAAACCCGTTTATGAGGAGGTTTTTCTCCTTTATCCAACTCGAGAGCATGAATATCAGGAACATACAACAAATTCCGATCTATACTTGTTTTTTGATACTGCTCTTCATCTTCGAGTGTTAAAGAGAAGTCCAAATCGAAAGAGCTCTCATGTGTGGTGCTCTGATCTTCAGAGTGAAGTGTGTGAATTCTCCTCATTAACCTTTGCCTTCGATCAGCTGTTGATAGCTGATGATACATTGTTGACGTTTTAGCGCTAAGCTTTTTAATTAAGGAGATATGAACGACTAGGGTGGTAGAATTAAAAGTGCTCCACACAGAAAGGTCACAGATGGAGCAGTATTTTTGGATAGGAAGGTAAGGACGTGTCAGTCACTTGCAGCTCGAGAAGAATGAACTATAGGTAGACTGATGCTTGACGTAGGCCTATTCACAATGTACATGTGTTCACCGCGCTCACACTGGCCACGCCCTCATCCTGCAGGCGAAGCTTACACCATGACTAGATGGATTGGCTTCCGCTGGCAACGACTGCACTAACACAAACAAGATATTGTTCTCCTTCTGGCACTAGTCAGCAAAATTCGTGTAGTAAGTAAAATGTCGGAGATGAAGTGAAGTATCTCATAAACATTGGCAATACATCCATCTTTGGTGATATCAGATACACATATACATATATATATATATATATATATATCCCCCAACGGTTTACCACCTCATCGTGGCTGGGAGGCGTTCCTGGGTGCCGGACTGCGATGTACAGCGGGGGATTCATCCCCTGGCTGGCAGGGTCTCCCAAACTGTGAAGGAGTCCGACGTTTCCATCAGGAAGCCTAGCTAAGAGTAAACCAATACCAGGATCCACCACCGTCCTGGTATCGAAGACGTACGGTGGTAAATCTCCCTCTGATCCACGTGGGCAACAACTGCCTGTGGTGGTGACGACGCGTAGCAGACTTTGGCCAGGCCGACCTCGGGACCCTAGGGAACCATAATGGCTTAACCAGCGAATCTCCAAAAAATGGAGATTATGCTGGGGTTCGCACAACCGGTGAGGATGGACCATTCGAGTATCAAGTAAGTATATATATATACATATATATGTATATATGTATATATATGTATATATGTATATATGTATATATGTATATATATGCACATATATATTACCTAAAGTGTAAAGGAGATTTGTGATATTATACCAGTTGTTTATTATCACATTTATTCCTAATATTTTATAAGTTAATATCACCGTGTTAAACGATTTAAGGAAATTCGCTTCGCATATAACATTCTTTTTGAAATAGCTAATTCACGTCGTAACAAGTACTGTATCATGTTCACTGAGATAGCATTATTGTGGTGCTTTGTTCAAGTGACCAATTATAGCTTACCATTTTAAACATAGCTTTTCACTCTAATAACTAGCAATGTCTTGAACTGCCTCAAGACTCAAAGTTTTCTTAGGTTAAGATGTTAATACGAGGTTGTTGTAAACGTTTTATTCGGCTAACATTTCAGCGTCCCTTCGCTTTTTTCAGAGTTGCGTTGATTCTAGTCGATTGTTCGCAGCAGTTCACTCTTGCGATGTAGGTCTTTGTTAATGCACCCAGTGGAATCTTCTGGAGTGGAGAATGGCTCGGTTGAAGTAGTCTTATTCGGAAACGCCTTTGCATACAGGACGGTTGTTGAACGAGTGGTTGTTGGTTGAAAATGGTTTGTTTTTCTTCGGGCATTCTATGCAGCAGCGGGTGGTATTATATTGGTAGCTACAACACATAATAATATTTATGAAAACAGAATAATGAACGTCACCATGACTAATCAATATATTTTTAGTGTCCCATTAAAAATTTCCCTCCTCGAAAGCTCCGTAATTCTGGCCGTCTTAGATACGCACTTTATCTGCCGCACTTTCTAATAATACTCCAATTAACCTATGTTTCGTTGGAAAAAAGAATAGTTCCAACTGGTATAGCGAAGCAGAGTTTGAGTAGCATTCTAGCACTTATAGCATTCTAAACCTGGTGCTTGAAATTGGCTACTTTTTTCGCATCGATATAATATGATGCATGGGTTGATCGAAGCTCATTATAAAAACTACTACGAATACGGACCACGATTTTCACATGTCTACTTCTCTTTCCGAGAAAAAAGTCAAGAAAACAACGCTAACGTGCAAAGTCCAAGAGTTTCATGCTGCTAGCAGCACTTTGTTGTTCGCAGGGAAGTTTTTGGCTTGGCTCATTACTAGACGTCGGCTTTCCATTGTTGCATGACCGGGTAACACCAATGAGTTTGTCAGTGGCGCTCGGTCTTTTTGTGGTATTATTTAACAATGCACATACACTGCTCACTGCGACATTGTCTAATAAAATGTCTGGAACTCACCAGCATATTACAAAGAAAAACCATTTTGTCGGTTTTTAAAACAGCGAACCATAATGTCGATTTTTTAATACTAAGCGATCTCGCGCTCAGTGTAACATTATGGGCCGTAGGGTTACGAGAGCAGTTGCTGTCGCTTATTTAGAACGGTTGTTACTTATACGCAACGTGTTATTACTACCGCGGGATGATTTACTTTCTCAGAGAAGAGCGGTATGTTGTCGGAATCAATACACGGCTGTTCCACAGTTATTTCACTGGTGCATGGAGTTTTAAAAATTTCCTGAGTGACTGACAAGATTTCTCTTTCACGTTCTATTGCCACGAAACAAAAACTGTTATATCGTTACATTGTTCACTGAGAATTCAATTAGTCGATTAATCACAGAAATTCCTACTGATCTGAAAGTATCGTAGTCAAAAGGCGGAGAATGTGCTTTCAATCACATGTTTTTGCAACTGATAACCACTTCAACCCTGCGAGGGATACAAGGCTCGGTCAGCATTTTAAAACGAAATAAAGTGCGGAGAAAATCCTTCAACGCAAAAGCGACCGTGTTCTGCTACAGACCACTTGGCTAGCTGAAGAGTGAAAAATACTGAAAAAAGTGGAAGAGAATGGAAGAGAGATGGCGCGCATAGGAGAAAAAATGACCCACCATTCAAGTGCTGCCAATATTAATAGATGAAGCAAAGTGAAACAGCAACAAATCCATGTTTCACGTTTTTAACGAAGATGATTCACACTATTCTAGATGCAATGCATAAAATTTAATAAAAAATAAGAACCTAGCTTCAAATTTGGCCTTAGTGGAGCGGCAGATGATCTAGACCATCCTGAAGCAAGGTACTGGTTCCGCCACCGCCTTAGCGTTGTTCTCCAGTCGACGCAGAAACGCCGTAGGTCAGTTATCAGCAAGATTGCAACCGACGGGCATTCTACGAGACTCAAAGGGCGACGAAATCTTCAAGCAGTGACCGAAACAACAAGCGAAATTTTCGAAGACTTCTGTGCGCGATGAATACAAGAAAAGGAATGTACGAAAACATTGCTCGAATCGCACTAAAGGCATGAAGATAGGTCGCGTAAAAGAAAATAGGTGATGTCCAAGGATGTAAGGAACCAAATGGTGGAAAACCTTGGTTAGAAGTTGCGAGTGTCAGTTAATCTAGTTGGACGGTCGATTTTTTAAGAGGTACAATGCGATCAATGCTGCTCTCCTTTCTTCTGATATTCGTCCTATTTGTGCGCGCTCCAGTGTTATTTTCGGCTTGATTAAGTTAATTAAGCATGGTTTCCTCGTGAGGCATACAAAAATGTCACAACCAGGATATCACCATTCTACGACGGTATCAACATCGGTGTCAAAAGAACAGTTAGGCAAGACCATACCATCTCGCCAAAATTGTTAACCGCCACCCTCGAAAATGTCATGCGAACATTGGAATGGTATACAATGGGAGTGAAAATCAATGATCGACAGTTAAATCATCTTCGCTCTGCTGATAACATCGTCCTTATAACATCAAACATTAGCCAAGCGGAACGTATGCTTGACGACTTTGATAAAGCCTGTGGTAAAATTGGTCTTCGACTAAATCTCACAAGAACGATGTTCGTGACGAATGGAATGGTTTCCCATGCCTCATTCATGCTCAACGAAACGAATAACTCCGAATGCTCCAGTTATGTCTATCTAGGTTGGAAAATCAACATGATGAACGACTTAGCTTCACAGTTGAGCAGAAGGAAACGAGCGACTTTCAAGAGCATCGAGGATGTAGTGAGGAGAACAAAGAACATCCCACTCCATGCCAACCTTTTCGATTCGACGGTGTTTCCTGCGTTAACGTATGCGTCAGAAACCTGGTCGCTGCGTAAGCAGAACGAAAAATCACTGAGCGTTATCGAACGCCCAGCTGAAAGGACGTTGCTAAGAGTATCCCATGTCACGCAAGTAAGAGAAGGGATCCGAAGCTCCGACCTGCGTCAACGATCAAAAATCAAAGATGCCGTTCTGTACGCCAAACAGTCGAAGATAAGGTGGGCTGGACACATAGTACGTATGAATGTTAACCGATGGACAAGAGCCGTTAGTGACTGGATTCCTCGGGATGTTAAACGTACTAGGGGAAGACCACCGACCTGATGGTCAGAGTTCTTTATGAAATCCTGGTAAAAGATATGATGCTCACCGACTCCCTAGAGCGAGAAAAACCCACTGGGCTTCTCTTGCACGCGACAGGGGAAATTGGAAGATTTACTAGCGCCCACTCGAGTCACTCGACATTCAGCGGGGTTACAGGTGTTACAGATGATACAGGGAAGCATGGTCTCCATTGGCACTCCTCGTAAAGATGACGATCGTATTCGCAAAACCGAGACTTGACATGAATTTTTCGTCAGTGTGTACCTTCTTTCCGTCCCAATGGAGCGACCTCATTACCAACAGAAATTCTACTGTAAACGAAGAGGGTGGCACAGTGCTACCGATCCCTTCGACAAAGTGGTCGGCCCAACTTATCAAAGCCCTCGTTCGACACGGCACCAGGCCCACCATGCTTCTCATTATTCCATTATTTCGGAAAATTGCCGCTAAACTTGTATGGGAATAGTCCACTCTATTCCAGGTCCCAACCTTTTATCACGGCTCTCTCAGGATTTCTGGTAGAATGGACTCGAACAACATTCAACAGCATTAATGACAAAGTCATGAAGATCCTTGAACATTAGTCGAACTTGCACGAAAAAAGCAGGAAGACCTTCGTGGATAGTAAATGGAAGGAAACGAATCGAATGCAAGACGTGCTGAGATCATAACATTGTGACGTGATATTGCCTTATATAA